ACGTTAAACCCCACATATCAATCAATCAGAACACGCGCGTCGATTTGTCTGGCGTGGGAAAAAACAACTCTGATGGGCGAGAGAATGAGGACAGAGAGAGAGAGAGAGAGAAAGAATGCAAGAGAAAGATAGAATAGAAATTTTTGGGAAAAAAAAATTTGGCGCTCCAACCCGTGTCCCCGTTATCCGAAAGAGAACGTTGTAACCCCTCGGCTGCCCAAGAGCTCGTAAAAAAATAGCTAAAAATGTGTTGCTGCAAAGAAGTCAAAGCCCCGGATATGTTCTGGATAACATTAAACCAATCTCGCATATTTCAAACTAAGTTAAAATGATTGAAAAAAATTTTTCATATTAGGCTCAGTGAACTTATTTTACATCAGGGTACCTTTCCGTAAAAGAAAATATGATTTAGACAGTGCTGTTTTTTACGGTCGCCTCATGTTAACTTGGAAAGCCGCATTCGGCTTGCAAAAGTATCTCGTGAGCTTTCTGCGTTAATAACGTTAGATTTTGCAAAAAACCTACGATAGTGATGAGCACTGATTTCCTGATTAGTGAGCCGTGATTTGCCCAATTACATTATATCATAGGTTCAGGAGGTTCTCCTAGATAGACAATTCTTTTGTTGCCACGAGGAAATTACCTCTGGCTCATATCAGCAAACAAGAGGTGTTTCGCAGATATCAGTTCTGTCGGCACTATCATTCAATATGTTATCATCAATTTCCAATTTATGAAAACATTCATCTTTACGTCTACTCCGATGATACTGCTTTTTTCTCGTCATCCCGAGATACCAATACTTTGTACCAAGTCTTATTATTATTTGAGTAAGCTTGATGCATGACTTGACGGAATGTATTTTTCGTAATGTACTGCGCAAAAAACGAACGGAAACACGAAGTGTGTTCTACTCGTGATGTTGCCTAGGTTTTGTTGATTTGGCCCCTTGTACATTTTTCTCCTCCGCCTTTTGCCATCCCTTGCTTTTTATCCTTTGTTTTATATATTGCCTTGGTCTTGCAAAAAAGCCCCATTTGATAGTCTGCACTTGTCTGTTTTTTTTCTCTACTTCGTGTTTCCGTTCGTGTTTTGCGCAGTACATTGTGGATCAGTACCAAGTTGCCCAACTAGCCATTCATCTGTGTTTTTCTCTTAATGTTAGCGAATGTACAGAAGAATATCCGGTTCTTTCTAGAACGCTCTAGAATGACTAGAACGAATACAGGGAATGGGATTCCCTGTATCCGTATGGTATTCCCTGTGGATACAGGGAAGACTATTCCCTGTATCTGTTCCCGTATTTATTTTGCTCATTGTCGAAACGATCCGATCCCACAAGTAACGGCACTAAAATATCTAGCCATTGGTTACGTGGACAATTTGAATTGGCAGCAACAAGTACAGTCAAACACTCGTGAAGCAGAATGTGCCTTAGGATCGTTACGTCGGTTTTGAATTCAGGTGTGCGTAGGGATACGTTACTTATGATGTACAAACTTTACGTACGACCCATTCTGGAGTTTGGTTGCATTCTTTTCTCCGGAAGGGCTGAGTACGAATTGAGACCTCTAATACTGCTAGAAAGGCAAAGCCCTGCGGTTGTGTCTTGGGATGCGTGTTGCTAATAACGTGCTTTGTTTGGAAGCTTGAATTATTCCAATTGATGCAAGATTTTTGACAGCTTACCGGGAAAACATTTTTTAAAGCTCTATGATGCGTCCCTCTCCGTCTCTCGCACAGTTTTCATAAAATCTGCAGATTCCTTCTTTAAGCGCCCGTGGCGTCGTTATCGAAGGCCCTAAGTCGTTTTCGTCGAGTCTCTGTTATTGAACCTTCACGTTTCTCCTTAGAATTTAAATACCCAAACCCTGTGTTCGTTGCAAGTTGACTTAGTTTTTCATGACATTTTGCAAAAAATGCTAAGTGACTTCTTAAGCTTATTCTGGAGGGCCTCCTTCAAGATCACCTCAGTCATTTTTCTACTCGCGCTGTAATTTCTATGGATGCAATGCAAAATCTTCAGAAGGCTGGAATAGACATTATTCTCGTCAGCTTACTTGGCCTTTGCGCTCTGACTGTCTGGCTTCGCACCAGTTTTTTTTTTTCGAAGAATTCGTGACAATTACGTTGGCTGCCAGAATTTTGGCTTTTTGGGTCCCCGGGGATGCTGTAATTGTTCTAAATGAACCGGCTGACTCGCTCGCTTCGGCGCATTTAATTGTCCCCGTATTACTAGTATCTCCACAGTTTTTTTTTTATTATTGCAGAACGATTCAGACGCCTGTTAGTCTTAAAAAAGAACGACACAACGCTCCTACAATCTGAGGAGTTTCGGCACTTGCAGTTCACACATGGAACACCGCAGAATGCCTTTCCCGTAAATATGAGGGGACCTTAACAAGCTCTCTCTCAAGAGTTCCCCGGTTAAATCATTAACTAACTAATGTGCAGTTTGTGCATTAACTAACTAATGTGCAGTTTGAAATGAACCAGAAAGGATGGATAAGTTCCTTCTCTCATGCCGCCGTTTTGCCTCACTCCACCGAATGATTCTCGAAAGGCTGATTGGTATGCTGAGGTTAGCATTTAATACATCCACTCTTTCATCGTTTGGAGCCAGTCAATTGGTTACGGGCCGCAGTGCTATTTTGTCCGCGCTATACAAAAAAATTATTCAGGCAACCGGATGGATGCGTTACTAGTGTTACTGCAAGATGAATACAATTCTTTGTACCCCTTCTTTTTTCTATCTTTCAACTCTGGCTTTTCGAATCCTTTCGCCCATTGTTTTTTTTTTCGTACGTTATTATACGTACGTTATTATCGTACGTTATTATACGTATCGTTCTTATCTGATTTCTTTATCTTTCAACAAGCATTGTATTTCAATTTTTTGTTATAAGGTACAGTGTGGTCAATCCCCCTTATGGGTATGAGCCAGGATCTTGTAGGCGACAAAACAAAGCAAAACTTTAGGAGAGCATAGCATAGCTTTGTATGGTATAGTATAGCAAGGGGGTGGGAAAGAGAAGTTATGGGCGGAGGAGTGGAGAACGAGTACAGAGAGGGGAAGAAAGAAATCAAAGAAGGTGAAGAAAAAGCGGAAAAGATAGGAGGCGAGAGAGCGACTAGAGAGAGAGAGATAGAGAGAGAGAGAGATAAAGACATAGAAAAAAGATAGAAAGAAAGGGAAGATTGATTGATTGATATGTGGGGTTTAACGTCTCAAAACCACCATATGATTATGAGAGACGCTGTAGTGGAGGGCTCCGGAAATTTCGATTTCCTGGGGTTCTTTAACGTGCACCCAAATCTGAGCGCACGGGCCTACAACATTTCCGCCTCCATCGGAAATGCAGCCGCTGCAGCCGGGATTCGAACCCGCGACATGCGGATCAGCAGCCGAGCACCTTAGCCACTAGACCACCGAGGCGGGGCAAAGAAAGGTAAGAAAGACCGCGAAACAAACGGCCATTGAGAGAATAAAAATGAAATACATACTCTTAAAAAATATAAAGAGCAAGCACAGTTGCCAAAGGCGTAGTCGAAAGTAGGCGTGGTAGGTTAAACACTGGAAATTTTTCAATTTTGCTCCACTATATACAGATGCACACATACATACGCACACACGAACATTCATAAGATATAATTGAACCCCCCCCCCTCAAAAAAAAAAAAAAAACTGGCTACGCCCCTGATAGCTGTGTATTGTACAGTATAGTATAGTATAATAAAGTATAGTGCGAAGCAGACAGGTCAGAGTGTGAAAGCCTAGCCAAAAAAGGGTCAGCCAGACGCCCACCAGTTTATTTATTTTATTATTTATAAATACTGTCAACCATCTATTGAGGGTCATTACAGGAAAGGTACGACACATTGTACTTTATTCTTTATTTATTCTTTATTCAATGATTACCCCGCTTAGCCCGAAGGTGCTGCAGCAGGGGGGTTACAATGTCGAGAAAAACACATCTTCATTAATACAGCACACTTGTTCATTTGATAAGTGATTCCATTCTCTAATGGAACGAACAAAAAACGAATTAGCATACAAATTAGATCTGATACGATACTCTAAAATCTTGAAACAATGATCATTTCGCGAAGAGATATAATGAGGACTGTGAAGGTACTTTTCTTTTCGAATGCCGGTTTTACCATGAAATATTTGGTACAGGAGCTTTAGCCGCAGTTTCTTTCGACGCGATGAGAGTACAAAGTACAAACAAATTGGGGATATAACTATACATCTCCCAATGATAAACCAGGTATACATGTATACAAATCCGTGAAAGCTCTGCATTCCAAACGAAAAACGAAAAAACACACACCCTGATTCGCAATGGAAACGAATAACAATCGCAATAGTATTTACAATAATGCGACCTGCAGCCGTGCGCGACTTGGTGCAAAGCACAGCTAATATATTTTTTTAAAGTAGATGTTCATAAACGACTGTTAAGGTGGCGATAACTAAAAAAAAAAGACAAATTTCCCTCCGGTGGAACAGGAATCCATAACTCTCGAAGCGGCATAACTCTCGTGCCAAGGTTAGCCGGCGTCTCTTTTGCAAGGAATCGGAATCAATAGATCATTTCTTTTTATCCTGTAAACGTTATGCTTATCAAAGAAAAAGATACCTGGTCGAACCAATTGAGAAGCTAGGTTTAAAAATAAACGTGGAAGTAATTTTATCCTTCGGAGGGATTACATTAGGTTATAGCCACAGGGAGGTTTTCTCTGCTGTGTGCGAGTACATAAGGGCAACAAAGAGATTACCCTGTTAGCCTGTTGTTATTATTTGCGGCTACGAGACTACCCGAATGCCTGTCTGAACACACTTGATGATCCTGCCGCCCGGTTCTTGGCCGATCCCCCTTTGTGGGCGAGTGCCAGCAAAGTCGAAGGTTCATCATCATCATTATCATCTTACACACCGGCGACGCCCGCTCTCGGCAATCGATACGGCGTTTTTCTCCCCCTCGTCGGCGCGCCGTGTGTTCAGGAAGGGAGTCGCGATGCCGTGCTCGGGGAAGCTGCTGCGGCTTCACGGCGCTCTGGGCGGCGTCAACTGGAGGCCGACGCGGTTCGCCGTGGACGGGCTTCACCCGTACGCCTGCTCGCTGTGCGGAGTCATACCGAAGCACACGCTGCTGCTGCCGTGCGAACACGCGCTGTGCGAGACGTGCAAGCGGGGCAGCGTCCAAGAGGACGGGGGCGTCTGCCCGCTGGACCAGGAGCCTTTCGTCGAGGACGAGTGCGGCAGGATCCCCCTGCCCCTGCGGAAACTCGGCAGTCTCAAGGTCAGTGCATCGACATCTCAATCGCATGTTCCGGGCACGACCGTATCAATGCGAAAGAAAGAAAAGAAAAAACTGTGCAGATTACTTCGTAGAGACCCACCATTTTTTTTTCATGACTGTCTTAGGAGTGTGCTTCGCATGGAGAGCCGGCAAATATTATCGATATATAAATAGCATTGTATGAAAATTTTGTCGGTAGACATCGCATCGCTCTCCCATCAAGATGAATGACGCAAGGTCATTGATTTTGTATGCCCTCTATCTGTAATTAATGTTTATTTACACGCGTGCCATTTACAAAGAGATAGGAAGAGAGAGAGAGAGAGAGAGAGAGAGAGAGAGAGAGAGAGAGAGAGAGAGAGAGAGAGAGAGAGAGAGAGAGAGAGAGAGCTTTTAATTGAAAAAAAAAAAAACCCGGAGAATTTAGCCTGCGTGTACGATTCGCTGCCTTGCTACTCTGCGGGAGGAAGCAGATTGGGGACTGAAAGGCAGAAAAGAGAGAGAGAGAAAAACAACAACAACAGAAAAACACTTCTCGCTTTTCCGTGGTGCGCTGTCGGTATATGTCCTATGCAATCGCTAGACGGGCAGTGTCACCCATAGTGTGTAGCTCGTATGAATTACGGTTGCGTAAAAGCGTATAGCCCCCGAACCCTGAAGCATAGATCCTCCGACCTTTGCGCCCCGAGTTCGATCGGTGTCATTGCCCCAGAGATATCAGGCAGATAGAATCGCCGGTAATATTCAAGTAGTAAACCGTGGGTCTTTCGCATTCTCTGATGCGAAATGATTGCATGAAGGGCCCTGTTATTGAAAATCGTTGTACTATCTTACGTTAGGCCGCGTGCGTGACATCGGCACCTTGAAGAGATTCGGGTGTTTGACTGTCATGCTTTTCGCAATCGCGCCAATTACATCCGTGGCGTATGTTCCCGTTCTCAATTTTTACGATGAACCAGCGTTAAACACTGCAATCTTGATTTGGACTATTTCTCCGTCAGAATCCTATCCTCGTTGCAAATGACTTACGAACGGAATGAGCCGCCAGTTATATAGCACTACTCTTTCGAGCATGGTACACACACACACACACAAAAAAAAAAAAATGAGCTGTTATGTTCAAAGGGCGAAGCCTTCGCTACAACTGGTTGGTTTAGCGCTGGGCTTGAGATCCTCGGACTGTGTTTGATAACTGTACACGCGTATGTGACGTAAGCAGGTGAGCCATGACTCTTGGAACTATTAGAAGCTTCGGCTCACCTTGTAAGGCATGTAAATACGTAGCGAAATGCCACACCACTGGATGGATGGATGGATGGATATGGCTGTACCCTTTAGATCGGGTGGTGGCTAGTGCCACCAAGCCGTAATACTTAATGAACCCAAAACTATATTTATTTATTTTTACTTAAAAAATGAGTTTGAGGATTCGTACTTTGCAGTGAAGAGTTTAATTTTCGCTCGTGCCTTGACTTTAGCCACCAATCAGATAACCTCCTCCTAGTTAAGTCTACTTGCTTAAAGTCTATTTTGCCCTCCCGGTCCCTAAACCCCAGTGCTTTGAAAAACTCTGCGCCATCATCCTGAACTATAGGGTGAACCCTTTTACAGAACGTTATCAAGTGTTCGGCAGTTTCTTCTTCCTCTCCACACGCACTGCATAGTGTGTCTACCCCTTCGTATTTGGCCCGATATGTCTTGGTTCGCAGTACTCCCGTCCTTGCCTCAAACAGTAGAGAACTACCCCGAGTATTATCATAGATCCTTTCCTTGGCAATTTCCTGCTTAAAAGTTCGACAGATCTCTAGTGCGGACTTCTTAATCATGCCCATTTTCCACATGTCAGTCTCCGTTTCCTTCACTTTCTTCTTAACCGATAGTTCTTTTTGGTTTGGCCACCTGCTGTTTGCTAAGTATTTACCAGTCAACTTCCTGGTTCGTTTCCTCCATTTTGTATCGAACCACTGCCACTGATGAGCACTGCCGCCTATAGGCCAACAAAATTTGAAATTGTGATTTTTGATCGCGTCGGGTTAAATTAAATGTTTTATAACTGTTGTTTACGTGTTCCAACATAAAAAACAATTTGATTAATAATTTAGCTATGTCTATTAGCCTGGGAATGCGAAAATGTGGCTTTCGAATAAGATGGGGTGTTGGCCTATATACGTGCGCCATGCTAAAGTTTGTAGCGCAGAAATGACCTTGTGTATATGGCCTGTCACGACGACGGGGGTATAGATGGCGACGACTGTGTCGGCGCCGCAGTAAAATAAAGCCTGCCCGAAGCCACCGGTTTTTTCGTGGTGGTTATTTCTGCTCTGCGCAAGATTAAGATGTCAGCTTTCGCGCCAATATGCCCAATATGTGCAGAATTATGATCATGATATTTATAAACTTCTTTTTTCTTTTTTTTGAAGGCTCGTTGTTGGAACGAATCCCAAGGCTGCCCCTTCGTGGACACCCTTCCGGCTCTGCTGCGTCATTACGAGGAAGAGTGCAGCTTCCACGCCGTCGAGTGTCCGAGGTGCGGCGAGGCGGCCCTACACGCCAACCTGGTGGCGCACTACAAGGCTGGATGCCCGGGCCACGCACCGTCCGCCACGAACGACGAACCACCGCGATACGACAGCGTCCTTCGAGTCGGCGACATCAACGCGACGTTGGGCGAGTTCAACGCGCTCTTGAACCAGCTGTACCAGGACCAGCTACCGACCATGGAGAGCAAGATGAACGAAATCACCGAACTGGTAACGAACCACGGCGCCCTCCTTCGGGAGCTGTCGCAAGCGTTGAGAGACACGCAGCAGAGTCTGACCTGCGGGCAGATGGAAGCGGCGCAACAACTGTCCGTCACGTTTGACGAGAAGCTCCAGTCGCAAGTCGACGCGCTCTGCGCTCGGCTTCGGAACGTCACGCCGGAGGAAGAGCGAGGAGCTCCCATGCCTTGGTGTCAAGAGAAGAAGCACGTGCTTAGAAGACTGGACGTCATGCTCACGGAGTCGCTCGGCTACCTGAGCGACCTGCGACACGCGACCGTACGGGACGTGCCGCACCTGGTAGCCCGGTGCGAGATGGCTTGCGACCACAAGGAGAGGGCGATAGTCGAACCGCTCTACTCGTCGGAACTGAGACTGCTGGAACGCTTCACGTACTGCCTAAACCTGAAGAACACCGACAAGATTGGTCACGATTACAAACGCTCCGGCAGAAGGGTACTGGACGTGGTCGACATGTGGCACTGCAAGGACCTGTACTTCACGATCGCCATCGCCCTCGACGATAACCCGGGCTGGTTCGAAGTCTGCGTTCAGCTGGCCCAGACCGTTCGGATCTCTCGTCTGAATCCTTTCGTCAGAAGTGTCGAGCTGCAGGACAAAGATTGCAGAAAATGTCGCTACTTGCAGGAGGCGGATCCGAATAACATGTCCGGTCACCGCTCGAAATGGAAGAACATATTCCGCACTGATTACTGGCAACTGCTGAGGGATGGCTTCTTCGATGGTGGAGAGGCAAATATAAATGTCACTGTTTGCCATGTTTAGGTGCAGCTTATGCTACTTTTGCTTGTTAGCGACAAGGAAAAAAAGGCAGAAAACTGGTGAACACCCTCGTGTTTTGAAAAGCTTTATGAGGTCAGTGCCATGGTCGAACTGGATTGTTTTACTGAAAAAATTTGCAGATGCATGCCAATCAAACACGGGGAATGTGGATAAGTGAGTCCTCGCGACCTTGTTAAGTATCGAGATTTTATTTGCTGAGTGTTTTCATCGTCAATAGATGAATTGTGGTCCCTGGTCCACCTCAGGGCTCCGGTCAGAGTTAGTCACTGTGTGCTCGTTAACCCAGCTGACAAACAAACCTTTACCCACGCGAATCAATTAAATCACGTGGTAGGAGAGGAACGTCAAGGATAACTGCATGACTTACGAAATATCGCAAACAAGATGTTGTGTGTTGGTATCTGCGTCAATTAGGTTTCAAAGCGAAAACATGTAACTCATAACTGATTGATGTTGAACACGCCGTGACAGCTGGATTTGGTAGCACAAAAATATGCGCTGCGTTTTCCCGTAGAGCTTCGGTGTAAGAAACTAACCATCGTTATCTGTGAGGTCGCTATACAGCACAGAAAGATTATGGCGGTCATCGTATTGAAAAAAGGGTTCGGATTGATCTTGACATATTGTGGCTCTTTAGCGTCAAAGCGTACGCGAGCATGTTTTCTCTGCGCCTTTACGAGAACGCGACTCTGCTGTCGGGATTCGAACTCATGACCTCATGCACAACAGCACGACGCCATGATCAGTGGAGCCTCTGTGGAGCGGGGGACTACGATGAGAGTGATTCAACCGACTCAAATGTGGGCGCTGTGAAACTGTGCTATAATAATGTTGCATTTTTGCTGGCAAGGTTCTACGTCATCCAAGAGAAAAAAGAAAAAGTGAAGGTTAAGCACCGTAATGTCGACTGTGGATGGGTAGCTAGTCTTGGCTCTGTAAAGAGAGCAACTCGCGATAATATTGGAACTTTGTTTGGAAGATTGAAGTTTAGTCAGATTTTTTGAAGTGTTGAACACATGGAAACTATACGCTCTGCCGTATGTCAAGCGCCGTAAACGGTCACAGAGCTGTGTCAGCGTTTTTTTACGTCCGCGCGCGTGTTGGCTTTCATCTTTTGGTCGAAGTTGTCTTCCTATACAAGTGCTTCCTGTTGGCCTAGTTGGTGGTGCGTGGCTATAATGGGATCAAATGAGGACGTTCACAGATGGAGAAGATGTAACAAGTACCACGTCAAAAAAAAAAAAAGGGGGGGGGGGTATAAGTCTACTCATAAAGCGTTTGTAGCCTTGTACTGGTCAAAATACTGCTTTACAGAACTTCAAGCAAAACAGAAGCTCGGGACGCGGTGGATGATTCAAGCGATGAAAAACCCGTTTAACAAACGATGTTGCCGGAACAGACGTTTCGGCACTTTTCGACGTTTCTTTGCCATGACATCAACTTCTACTACTTTACGTGAAAGAGAGCAATTTTGTGTTTTCTTATGCATTCATTTATGTGTGCTGTACACATGTACGCCACCTCAAAGCTAATGAATTTTACACAATAGTTACAACGGCGTGATGTCCTTCATGTCTCCATGTTCATGCCTACAACTCTCACATTATACTTGTGTTTCTATACAAATGCTCTTCTGTGAACGTGTGTGGCCTAGAGAATATCGAAAACTATTGTTAAACTTCAATTCCTTTTGATCTTTGTGTGTTCTATATACTATATGCTTACGGACTTTTATTATACGTTGCAAAACAACACTAATCGCAAATCCTAGGCTTTCAAGTGCCAAAACTAAGGTAAAATTATTACACTGGCTGTAGTAGGACACTCAGGGTTAATTAACTTCGCCATTTCTAAGTACACTGGTGTTATAGCATGTCCGCCCTGTGGAGATGCTGCCTCCTTGGCAAACAACCGAACTCGCGACTCCATGTTTAGAATCGCAAGTACAAGCACAACACGATGACGAGAACAACAATGAATGACGTTTGCGTGCCACTGACTTCCGACAAGTTAACTGCTGTCAAAAGGACCATAAGTGCACACACTGTATTGCGGGAACAAGACAGACCGTTTTTTCAACATAATATCTAAGGGGAAAAGGTTGTTAATAATGGTTGTGGAGTTTCACTTAGTGTTATAAGATCTGAAAATTATCGTTTGCTCGCGCCACACTGCTGCTAGATGGGCTGAAACGAGAGTGTTAATAGCCTCTGAATAAAATAGTGAGAATGGTTTGTGGTTGCATCTATGGAACTCATAAGTTTTGTGGAGGAGTGAAATATACATAGGAAGAAGACATTTCTAGAGATGATTACTCATACACAACCGAACTCCAGCTAGGGTGACCTCTTTCGACTATAGTAAAACTAGCCGTGACCTGGCGGCATTAAGAATCGAAGCTAGAACCACCTGCCTCGTAGAAAATACGTGATCGCATCGCCAGCGCTGCTGTACCCAGACGGGCGGACATCCGTATTACAAGTATCTCAGAAACTAATTTATTATTTGTTTATTTGTTTCCAGATTTTCTACCCAGTGGTGTATGGCCACGCTTTGTAGGCCCTTGAAAACAGTTTATTATTTATTTTCGGCGTGTTGCTGTTTATGTCTGTACTTACCGTGCAATAAAGCGCACACTCCACAAAATTCTCACGAGGAGTCGCTGCTATGAATTCTCGCACTTCGCCTGATGTTGTTTCTTGTAAGTGCATCCGTTCACGCTTTCATGTTATAAAGCGAGCACTGCCCGGTTGATGCAGCTGTCCATACTGTCGGTTTTCACGAATAATGTTGGAGGGTTCGAAACCAATCGAAGTGTAGACCATCTGACCTTTTACGTGTGTGCAAATACGATCTGCAGAATATATCGAAAATGAGGAAGAACTGGAAAAAAAAAAGACGGGTCATCCATCGACAGAAGCCTTCATAGGTCTCTCCATGTGATCCTCGTACCTGCAGTTTAGGCGACGGTCGCACGAATCACGACTTTTCTCTCTCACAGCATTTCGACCCCATAATTTTTAAAGGCGTCAGTCAATTTGTGTTATCAGGTCGGACGAGACATGCGTGCCGTAAATAGTCCGTATTTACTGCAAGCATGTCCGTATTTACTGCAAATAGTCCGTATTTACTGCAAGTCCGTATTTACTGCAAGGGGGGCCTGCGGCCTTGTCAAGCTGGCATCACGCCAGCTTTTTCTGCAGGTCTCCTGCATCATGTATCCTTGATGCGAAATAAAATCATTATTATTATTATTATTATTGTATTGACGGCGGCTTCAACGTGCAGACAGGCAGCATCGCAATGCCTATACTCAGTAATAAGTTGGTACATAGGCGAAGCTTTTATATTCCCGTAGGAGGCACGGGACCCGACTTGCTCTTCCACATTTCTTTCTCACTCTTTATATATGCGGGCCATTCCACGCCAACCGCCCCAACCTTGGCGCTCGACCATCTCCGATTTACTTAAAAAAAATCATATTTACCTACATAAGCCCAAAAGTGTATCCCCGAAAAATTTCGTGCGAAAAAAGTTTTTCAGTACTGCAAGCCTCATTTGATTTTTTTTTCGGAAAGCTCGAAACCATAGCTCGTAAAGCACGTTGCCAAAAGACAGTTCTTTTCATATTAGGTCAAGATCTTAGAACAACGATTGGCGTTTTACTTAAAATAGGTTTTACGAACTTTTTCATTTTTGTGGGTTTTTATGTGACCTCAAATATAGAGATTTTGGTGTTTATTGAATATTTTTTATAGAAAATCAAAATTAGAAAAAGTAGAATAGTTGAAAACTAAAAAGTGAATAGTTGAATGTTCATTTTCGCCCACCTTCGGCCGTAAACTCAACCATGAGGCGGTCCTACTAAAAATATGCGCAATAAAAAATTTAGTAGCAACCTTAATTGGCTAGTCACTCAGAAAGTTTTATCAAAAGAATTCTTGTTTTAAGCGAGAAAAACATTTTTGAATTTTTGTGTTACCGCTCTCGGCGTTTGGATGTGTTTACAGCCGCAAACATGCGTCCTATAGCAGTAAGTACAAGCTGCACGGACGCGGGGATTATATGGACAACGTGATCAGCTGTGTTCCTGCCTATTCAAATTATTTACAAGCTAGTATTACCCCTAGTTAACTAGAAACGCGGGACCTGCAAGACAGCATTTAGCCACATGCCGCCGTTCGCTGGCAGCCTGCGTATACAGTATATATATGCTTGCGCAGCACCGGAAAGTGGTACCGATTTGCGCAACACACCGCTTCCTATATGCTAACATTTAGAAGTACGAAGATGACGATAAAGCGAAGGATCAATCGAAGGAAAAAAAAGATGTGCTGCTTGGCTGCTAACTTGCAGTTATGCACCAACATATGTTCAGTGGTGCCAAATGGTAAATTACATACGATTATATTTGTCTTAACTGCGACTTGTCAGCGATGCAAAACTGGTCTATTTCATGAAGAAGAGCACTACGAATTAAGAAAAGCAGTGCGATTAAGAAAATGGTCTATATAGAAATAAAATAACATGTTTTGCATCGCGGACAAGTCGCCGTTAGAACCGACATAATCGTGTATAATTGACCATATGACACCAGTGACCATATATTGGTGCATCACTGCAACTTAGCTGCGAAGCAGCGCATCCCCCCCCACCTTCTTTTTTTACAGCAAAAGCTGTTACGAGATCAGAGCACGGGTCACGCGCGGCGCCGTAGTTGTGCGCCGCCGCCGCCGGTGTCCGTAACCAGCATTGAACGAAAAAAAAAATGGCATGCAGTATATCCGCGGGGTGGATGATGGAGAGTGGGGCGAAGCATCCGCCCGTCCATTCGGCTTGCGCTTCGTGTCTACTTCCCACCTTTAACCACCTCGAGTTCATGATATATACTAGCTCACTGTATTCATGGCACTGCGGCCCAACGCTCGCTAAACCTTTCTAAAACCAAAGAGGTTACGCCCAGCGAGTATAACGTAGCAACCCTTTCTTGTCAGATAGTGCTCAATGTACATTCCAATGGCTGCTAATGGGGAATGACAGACAAAAAAATTCGGCTTTTAGTTAACGCGCACGCTGCAAATTTTATTGTTCAACAACGCACAGGAGAAATCTCCCACCGGCACCACCTTGCAGGTCAAAACGTAAGACATGTTACGC